CTCATTCCCCTGCCACTTCTGCTCCACCCATCTGCCAGCCTTGACCTTCTCAGGGAAACAGAGGCACTTATGGCCCTGACAACCACTTGCTGGGCCCGTGACAAGATGCCCCAGTATTTGGCCCTCACCGGTCTATTGCTCAGCAGAAGCTCAGATGCAGGGCCCATGGTGGTTCTTATTTTGAACTCAGGTGGTAGGAGCTGAGGGAGGTTGCTGCATCCTTGGGGCTCAGCAAGGACAGAGGCAGAGGGAGCACACGAGGGTCCCAATGCCAGGGGCATCCTTGCCTCCTCTCCTCCATTCCCTCTCCCATTGGTTTAGCTACCTGCACACTTGTGGTCAGTCTTGGACTGGGCACTGGGGATCTGGAAATGTATCAGGAAAGGCAGGGGACTCAGAGCAGCTGGCAGCCAAGATCCCAAGATCCCAGGATCTTCAGTCAGCTGGGAAGCCAGTGTTCATTCTCTCATGTCACAAGCCCCACCTGTGCAGCCTGGACCATAGAGACTGAGACACCCCCAAGGAGTCCACTCCACCCCTGGACCGCACGGTAATCCCAGCTGCAGCCAGGCATCAGTCCTGCTGACCTGTTCCTCCCAGCTGGGGAGCCACCTTTTCGAAGGGGGAAAAGAATCCTTTGGGCAGCCCCAGTCACCCTTCCCACATGACTCCGTACCCACGGGCTCTGACCCAGCCACCTGTTGTTAAAGTTGCCCCCACCCTCCACGGGGCCTGAGTTCTTCAAGGACCCTGAGGGAGGGCTGATCTCAGCTTCTCTCTGCAGATGTGATCAGAGGTCTCTTCCCGATAGTCATGGAATGATGCGCACTTCTGGCAGCACTTGCTCTGCCCCCCTGAGGCTGGATCCTGGCTGGGGGGCTGCTCCCAGGGAAGGCCGAAGAGCTGGCCTCAGCCCCGGAGCAGTCCGGGCATCTGTGCTATGGCCCTCCCTCCGGGCTGGTGCGGCTGGCCATCTTTCACGCAGAGTTACGTAAGCTTGAGTCAATTGGAGCTCGGAGCAGTTCATTGTGGGCTATTTTTAAGCTGTAACATATCACAGCAGAGGGGTCAGTGCACCACGGCTGGCAGGGAAGGTTGTTTAAACATCTGTTATTTAAATTTCCTATGCCTTAGAGCTCAAAAGCCACATCCTCCTGGCACTCCTGGATCTACATTCCACATTCCTGATTAGGAGTAGACTATCACCCCATGTCCCACCAAGGGCCCTCCTGGGCCCTCCTGGGGCTGGAGTTCTCTGCACCCTGGCTGTCTTCCCTTCCGGGGTCAGGCAGGGAGACCAGGGAGGAGGAGGGGTCCGAGGCCTCTCTGGAATGGGTGTGCCCTGGCCAGGAAAGGCTTCAGGGAAGCAGGATGTTAGCGCTCACAGGTCACTTGGAGAGCCCCAGGGAGGAGGGTCAGGAGTGGGAAACTCAGACCAGTCTGTGGAGCCAGGAGACCAAGGGTGCCTCCTTTCTCCCAGGTGACCTTGGTTTCCCATTAGCACCCCGAGAAGGCTAGATCACAACATCCTTTTAGGTCTTTTCAGAAGCCTGCCTTTACCTGGTCTGTGCTCCTACCCAGAATGCCCTCCCTAAAGATCTAAATGCTACCTGTCTGCACCCTCTGGGGTCTGGGGCAGGACGGCTGGTGTATGAACCCCTGAACACCGGGCACGACTTCTGGGGAAACTGGCCTTGCTTTTCACTCCATTACCAAGTGGTTGCCTCCACTGGGAGCCCTTTTTGGCTCCTTTTGATCCTAGATTTTTGGAGAGTCTTCCCAGGGCCCTGAGAGGGGAAGACAGGTAGACTGGAAGAGTACAGGGCCGAGGATTTGACAGAGCTGTTTCCTGAGAACACAAAAAAGCCAAAAATACAGGAGCATTGGAGAATCAGGTCTGGGAGACCTGGCTGGTCCTGAAGTCTTCCCTCTCCTCTTGATGCCCTTCTGGCCCACCACCCTCAAGACATCCGAGGGAGGAGGGTTCTAGCCTGATCCACAAGAAAGAATGGTTTCTTGGGGTGCCCTGACTCCATCTCCTGAAGCCTGACCCTCTCCACAGGGGTCAGGGCCTTTCCCCGAAGCCTGCTCAGAGGGGGCCAGGTGAGGGGTGACAGGAGGCAATGTCGGGACCTGCCCTCACATAGGAGACTCCTTCTGTCCTTGCCCTAAGACTGGGCTTCTTCCAGTTCTTCTGGGTCCTTCCATTGCGGAGAACCCTCAGCCTGGGGAATGGGCTCAGCCCTGGGGAGGGGCTCTCCAGTTTGCCATGGCAACATGTTGGCCCTCCTCACTTTCCAGAATCAGAAATAGAATTGGTTGCCCTTCTTCGTGGTGAGAGACTGTTTAAAAACATGTAGGGGGGAGGGGTACCGTGGCAATGTCCCCGCCTGAACCCTGGGGGCTCGGCAGAAGGGGGCTAGCTTGGGAGCCTCTCTGGCCACCCTCCTGGGCCTCCTCTTACCTGGATGAAATGCAGTGGGCTTTGGCCAGGCAAGAATTCTGAGGACAAAGGACTCAGCCTGGTTCAGCTGGGTGTATAACTGGCCCCTATTTCTGCACTCCTCTCCTGGGAGGACATTGGCTTTGACGTGCCCACAGGGAAAACGCCCCTCCCAGGTTCCAGCCACCTGCTAAGCTATTGGGAGGAGGAGATGGTTCATGTGGGACACGGCTTTCGTGGGGGCTTGGGGCTGCAGCACTCAGAAGGGAGGCATATTGGCTCCCTTCCAGTAGGGTCCCTGCCTGCCAGCCTGGGCATGGGATCCAGTGGTGGGACATAGAATTCTGAAGTGTAGGTCCGAAGCCTGGTGGCCAGCCTGGCTGCAGAGTCTGGCTCTACCACTCATTTTGCTGAGCTCTCTGTGAGTTCTCTCTCTTCTCTGTGCCTTGATTTCCTCATTTGTTAAATAGGGATGATAGTGCCTGGCTCATTCAGTCACTGTGAGGCTGGGTTACCAGTGCTCAGCACTGCCCAGGCTTGCAGGAAGAACCCAATCAAATCAGTTATTGTTTTTATAACAGGCGTTTGCTTGGTGGTGGGGGGGGAGAACTTCCTCCTCTCTCAGGACTGCTTTCTCTTGGGGGGTGTGGGGGGAAGCCTTCATGAGCCACACCCTTTAGCTGGCTCTGCTCCCTTCCCAGAGGACACCTGGAGGGGATCTCTCAGGTCAGTTGTTCACAAAGCTCCTAACCCTGGGAAGGATGCCCCACTTCTTTAGGAGATGGAGTATGGCTGAGGGGCGCCCCCCTCCCTGCCTCCCCAGCCCTCCCAGGTGCAGACTGGCTCTAGAGGCCGCCACTATCACCTCTGTTGTGGGGGAAGAAATCTGTTTGGTCGGGGTCAGAGGTGAATGGAATAGCATTCAGCAAGGATGTGCATACACAGGAACACAGAGGCGTGCCACAGACCCCTCCACTTGGCCACCTTCCTGGGCCATAATGTAGGATGAGCAGTAACATCCCGAGAAATCTGTCGCCAAGCTTAACTGAAGGCAGCATCTGGGGGAGAGGGAGGGGACCCAGGGGGCCCGAACAGGGCTGAGTCAGGCTTTGCCCAGTGCCTGTCAGGAAGGTGCAGATGCTGCACAGTGCCAGCTGTGGTCCCTGGTCACATCGTTTCACACCCCACGGCCAACTGTAAGCACTATTTTTAACCTTTGTGAAAACACCGCTTTGGAGGACAAGCCGATAGCTGCATTCTCCACAAACCTGTTTCCTGGGCAGAAAAACTGAGGCCTGAAGGGACACAGGCCTGGGGACTAGACCAAAGAGGCTCAGAGCTCACAGCTGGCAGGAGGGAAGAGGGCTGACCCCGCCCCCCAGGTCAAAACCTTGTGGTAAGGGGTGGGTCCCCAGACTGCTGCCTAGGCCTGTCTTCTATGGCTGTCAGGCACGACTAGGCCTGGGCTGGTGGTCTAGACAGGTCTCACCCTTCTCTGGCCTATGTTTACCCATCTAAGAAAGGGAGGGTGGGAGTTCTACCCAGTCTAATAAGTTTACATTTCCTATGTGCCTACCCTATGTCCAGTCCTGTGTCCAACTTGTCCACACTGTATACACAGCTATGCCCACTGTGTGCCCAGTCCTGCACCAACCATATCCGCACTCCATAACCATCCCTCTGCTCACTGTGTCCCTACTATGCCCCATCTGTATGTAATTGCCACTTGGCAGGCCCTGTGTCCACTGTGGCCTAGCCCTATGCTAAGTGCTCTGCCCCCCCACCCCCTCCCCCAGCCAAGGGGAAGTTGACACAATGTGACAAGATCTAGAACATTCTGATTTGAGGATTCTGAGCAAAGGCCCCACCCCCGCCCCTCTTGCCCCCATAGCCACCTCTGTGGGCTACTGGTTCTAGGCTTCAAGGACATGTGGCTCTGGGGAGGGGGCTCTATGAGGCACAGGCAGAGGAGAGCCATCTGGAGTAGAAAGACTGCCAAGGAGCTGCTGTCCCTGGAGCGGGAGCCAGGGAACATGGGGGAGAAGAGCACGGGCCTGAGCTGAGCCCCTCACCCTCTTCTGTCTCCCAGGACTGAGTGGTAAAGGGGCTTTGATCCCCCAAGGGGTCTTGTGTCACATTCTTGGAACTCATCTCTGGGTCAGGGCTAAAGTCTCAAGCTGCCACATAAGAGAGGAGAAAGAACCAAGTCTGGCATCTGAGGTAGACCAGGAATCCAGGTCTTCCCTGCTTACCTTTCCATTTTGGCCTCTCCCAGCCACTCCCAGACCCTGCCACAAGGAGCACCACCCTCACTCCACAACTGGCCTGGGTAGAGAGTAGTTAGTCCCCTGGCTGGCCTAGGGTTAGCAGACTTCACCAGAGTCCCTGGGCATTTCTGTTTCCCAAGGTTCCCTAGGGCAGGCCCCATTCCTCAGGGGGGTGGGGCCCCTGGTTTCCCACACTCTGTCACCCCCCACCAGGTCACTGGGGGCTGTGATGTGTGGGGTTGCCATGACAACGAAGTGGGGGCAGGGCACCTAGGGCATGGAGCAAGACTATGGAAGTCACCAAGAAGGTGGGGGGCCCTGATCCACCGGGCCCCCAAGGCCACCCCTCGGCCAGCAGCCAGCAGCCAGGGGGTGGCCTCAGAAGGTCTGAGGGACCATGGATAAACTCAGGATCTGTGTACTTCAGGCAGGGGTTGTCCTTGTCCCCTGAGGCCATCACTGATAGGACCTGCGGCCCTGCCTCCCAGGCCCATGCCCCTGACCTTGTTCACCAGCTACACCAGGATCCTGCTGACATTGGCTCCCAGTGTGTCTGTGAGAGGGCCTCCCAAGATGCCCCAAGGCCCCCCTCTACTAGCCCGTTTCCAAGCTCCATCGTGGGAACCCCAACGCATCTCATCATGGAGAACAGGACCCTGGCCCTCCCTGTGTGCACACACAGTGACAGCACCAGTGACACGGTCCAGCATGGATTCTGCCGCTTCCGGGTTCAGGCGCAGGTTGCACGGCGGGGCAAAGCTCCCGCTAAAGTCCTGGTAGGCTGGGGCAAAGGCCCCTGTAGCCCTGACCAGGTAGCCCCCTTGGGCAGCAGGAAGAGCAGGTGGCTACCCTATCTCCTTTCAGGGGACGAGGACTCAGCTGCAGGCCAAGATCCTCTTCTGGCTCCAGGCCAAGGTCAGGGCCAGGACAAGTGCCCATGTCCGGCCCAGACTCCTCCAACTCCAACTCAGGCAAATGCTCTAGCTGTGGCTCCAACTCCAATGCCAGAAGTAGTTGAAACTTACACCTGCATCTCTGGCCACTTGACAGACACCACTATTACAACCAATGGCTTGTCCCAAGACCTCCTTCCCAGCAAGAGTGACAACCAGTGGCCAGTCCTCTTGGAGTCTTCCAAAGTGGTCTCATCCCTCCAGGACAAAGTGGATTTTGGTTTTCAGAAGGAGCCTCCCAACCAAATGCCTCCTCCAAATGAGTCCTCAGACCATGTCCAGGAGGTCAAGGCTGCCAGAACACAGGTGTTATCCAACCTGCCTGAGAACCCAGTGGAGAAGCCCCCGGTTTGTACCTCTAGGCCAGGCAGCCCAACACCAGGCTCAGGGCCCCCAGGGACCCCTAAGTCCCAGAGGAATAGCCAGGAGAACTGCAGCTCTCAGCCAGACCAGCAGCCTCTCAACATTTGCAACAATACCTACTCCAATGTGCCCCAGTCTGCCTACCCAGACTCCTGCCACAAGCAGTCACCTGTCCAGTCTCCCGGGGAAGCCAACCAGATTCCCCCCTCCACTGCCCCTACTTGCCAACTCCAGAACGCTGTGGAAGACCGTGTGCTGGTGTTCGATATGGCCACGGGGAACACCAGGATGGGGCTGCTGTGCCATGACCCCACGGGTTCACGGGCAGTGCTGCTGGGTGTCATGCCCAACCACCCATCTGTCTATGTTCCCGAAAATGTGTTGTCTGCTCCACCATTAGGCATGCCCATCCTTTCCCCTGACAACAATCGCCCCGACTTCTGGTCCACCTCGCCCATGCTGTCCAGCCCTGCGCCCTCCAGCCTCTCAGCTGGAAGCTACCGAGAGGTGGCCCTGGTTTCCAAGGAGGGCAGGCTCAACTTGGAGTTGCGGGACTCCCCAGGTACTGAGACACCCATCAGGGTGTTCACTCGGTCCGTTCCACTGGGGATGCCCCTCCAATTCGGTGAGAGGAGATTGAGCCATGTTCACGATCCGGGCTGCTCCAAACCTGATGCAGAAAAAAATGAAACTAGTCATACCATCTGGAAGCTGGACCGCTCCAGGATGCAGGACACCTCCACGGTTCAGCCCAAGAAACTGCAGTGGATGATCTCAGAGCAGCCCGCAGAGCCTGCTCCTCAGGCCCCAACCCAGGAGGTGTCCAGACCGCTGCTTCAGGAGGATATAGGCAAACATGACCAGAAAGAGGTCCTTACCACTCACCCTGACAACCTTGGGGCTGAGGGTGCTGGGCAGGCCTTCCCCAGCGGTCAGCTGCCTCTAACTGAACAGCATCCCCTTTCTGGACAGCCCCCTCCAATTTGTCAGCCTCCTCCTGCTGAGCAGTGCTCCCTCACCAGGCAGACCCACTTTTCTGGACAGCCACTCCTGGCCAAGCAGCCTCCCTCCCCCAGGCAACTCCCCCTTTCCGGTCAGGTCCCTGTCACTGGAACCTCTCTTGCCAGGCAGATTTCTCTCACTGGGCAGCCTCCCTTTTCCCAAGAACCCCCCATTTCCAAAGAGCCCATCATCCCAGGAAGGCCCCCCATCACCAGGGAGACTGGCCAGGCCTCCACCTTGTGCCAGGAAGGGGAGCCCTTGAGCTTGCCAGCCCATGTGGGGGTGCTTCAGGTGCCCCTGGCCCCCGAGGAGACCTGTGTCTACATGAGCAGGGACAAGGTCGGCATCAGAGCTGCTGAAAGCTCCAGCACACATCGGGTGCCATCCTGGCAACCCGGAAGCCCCCCCAGCACCCAGGGGGAGCAGTTTTCCCTGGTCACATTCTCCACACCTGGCACTGGCTACAAGGTCCTGCCCGTGGCCATGGTGGGCACCGAGCCACAGGGTCCCCGGTTCAAGCTGACACCCGAGGACATCTCACACCCATCAGTGCTTCCACACCTTGGCCTGCTCCGTGGGGCCTGCTACGAGCTGGTGCCCACGGCAGGTACTCTGTCAGTGCAGTCCCCGCTGCTCTGCCGTCACTCGCTGGGCCCCTACCAGGACATGGCAGCGGTGGTGATTGACACGGGCACCGGCTTCACTAAGTGCGGACTGGCTGGGGAGGACCACATCCTCAGCGTGGTGCCCTCACGTGTCCAGCTGCTGCAGCACCCGGCCCAGGATGAGCCCCGGTACACGGTGCCCGAGAACCAGGAGGCCTCCTATTCGGTGCTGAATCGAGGCGTGGTCTCCGACTGGGATGCCCTGGAGGTGCTGTGGCAGCACCTGTTTTACTGCAGGCTGGGCGTGCGGCCGGAGGAGCTGGCGGTGCTTGTGGCCGACTCGCCCATCTCGCCGCGCACCAACCGAGAGAAGGTGGCTGAGATACTCTTCGAGCGCTTCCACGTGCCGGCCATGCAGACAGTGCACCAGGCCCTGCTGGCGCTCTACGCCTACGGGCGCACCACCGGGCTGGTGCTGGGCAGCGGCCACGGCACGTCCTATGTGGCGCCTATCCTCACTGGGGATCTGGCCCCCCTTGACACCTACCGGCTGGATGTGGCTGGGGCTGACCTCACTGAATATTTGGCTCAGCTGCTGCTGGCGGGGGGCCACTCACCGCCCAAGGTGGGGCTGGTCAACCAGATTAAAGAGTCCTGCTGCTACGTGGCCATGAACATGACAGCTGAGGTGGCCCGCACCCAGACCCAAGCCCGGGTGGACTTCGTGCTTCCAGACAAGCATGTCATCACCCTGGGCTCCGAGCGTTTCTGCTGCCCTGAGGCCCTCTTCCAGCCCAGTCTGCTGGGCCTCAACCAGCCTGGCCTCCCGCAGTTGGCCCTCCTGAGCATCAGCCGGCTGGAGGCCAAGCAGCAGGAGGAGCTGCTGGCCAATGTGGTGCTGGACGGCGGCAGCACCCTGATCAATGGCTTTCCCGAGCGCCTGCGGCAGGAGCTGGGCCCCCGAGCCACTGTGCTGGGCTCTCCCCATCGCGCTGTCGCTGCTTGGCTTGGAGGCTCCATCATGGCGTCCCGGGACTCCTTCCAGAGCCTGTGGCTCAGCCGCCGTGAGTACGAGGAGGAGGGCCCGTGGGCCATCTACAAGTACCATCTGTGAGCGCATAAAAGTTCTCGTTCTGCTGACTTGGAGCACTGTGGTGTGTTTTAGACACAGGGTGGTGTGGGGAAGGGCAGAGAGGCCGGTTGTGGAGTCAGGGGTGGAGGCTTTCCCTGGAACTCCCAAGGCACACCCTGCCTCCACACGTGGGAACTCCATGGGGCCTAGCAATCCTATCCTTTCCAGAGAACCTCAGAGCCCCTCGGCTGGCACTGGCTCTGGTCTAGCCTGACCTTTACTGCACCCCAAGGGCAACCATAGACAGTGGCTGCTGTGGGTTTTGCCCCGTTGCCCTGGCGACAAGTGCAATTACCCTTGATTGCCAGCTGGTTGCCATGGCAATTTCAAACATAATGTAATAACCCACACAGCCTGGAGTGAGTCATGAAGGGGGGGAACAGCCCCCTCCCCTAGCTCCCGAGGAAAAGACTGCTCGGCCTCCTCCATCTTGGGCCCTCTACGGGGGGCTGAGGAGAGCAACGTGGACAACAGCCTAACAGTTCCAAAGATGGCTGGGGACCTGGAGCATTTGTTGCCCCCAAGGGAGGGTACCTGTCAAAGTTTGGGCTTCTTGGGGGAGCTAGCCTGGTAATGCAGGTGCCCCCTAAAATCTGAACTTCAGCTAGAGCTCTATGCTTCTGTGGACCAGTCAGAATATGAGGGTATGGGAGTGCTAGCCTTTGGCACCCTGGGGCAGGAAGTCAGGGTCATGGTGGGGTGGCAGAGAAGTCCTGGGTCCTGGGTGGGTGGTATGACGTAAGCTGAGCCTCGAGATCTGGCCGGCTTTGTAGGCCCTGTGGGTAGAGAGGCTCACACTTTATCCTGCCCCTCTGACTGCCTCGCTCTGGTGGGAGCCAGAACTCTCAACCTCGGGATCCCTTCTCTTTTTCAGCCTCCTCCTCCCACCTGCAGGGCGCCTAGGGCACAGGCTTCCTCAGGAGGTCCTCAGAGAGGCTACTGGACAATGCCAATGCCAACTGCGCCTGCTCTTTTTCCAGGCTCTGCCCTATCCTAAAGGACCATGTGTCATTCCTCTGGCCAGGGGGAGTGGTTAGAAGCTGTGGGCCATGACCTGGTCTAGCTCTGAATAGCGGAGGTAGGAATAACATTCCACATGGGCCCAGTCCATGGCCTAGTAGAGCTGAGAGGATGGCATCCAGCTGGTATGGCTACTTCCTACCCAGAGGGCGGCCGGAGGTCGAATGAAGCGAAGACACCAAAACCCTATCCTGCCTAGGTCTCCCTCCCAGACTGGGGGCTGAGGAACAAGCCAGGTCCCGGTCCCAACCCTGGGTTCTCATCCTTGGTTTTTTCTCTCCACAAAGGGCCAAGACCTGGCTCTCCCCCGAAGAGGAGAGTGAAGGGCTACCCTGGGTGGGGTGGCTGGAAATAGCCCATGATGTAGGGTAGCCTACTGTCAGCCCTTAGGCAGGCCCAGCCTCTTCCCCCATCCTGCTTTCACGCCCTGATTCAGCTTCCACAGTCCTGAGGCTTGTGTCAGGCCAGAAGGGGACCAGAGGCTCCAGGGACCAGGGTCTTCACGGACTGGCAACCGTGTCCATGTGCACGCACAAGCCAGCATGCCTGGGTGCGCACAGAACGCAGACACACGTGCCACTGGGCACCACCGCGCACGCACGGTGCTACTGCCATCTCCTCCAGCATGAGAGCGCACGCACACACACACACAGACACACTCGCACGTGTACACACACACCCCACCACGTGCACTCAGCCACAGGCACATGGAAATTGCACACGACCAAGGAGAGGTGGAGCACTGCCAGCAGCAGGCAGGGCTCTAGCGAACCACCTCTTCCCCTGCCTCTAAAATCCCCCATTCCAGCTTCTTCTCGGCCCAGCCGGTCCGTGCCTAGATAGCCATGACCTTCAGGAAAGATAGAAAATGTATGTCACAGGGTTGGCAGGCCAAGGCTCAGCTGCACGATACATCTCAGAAAAACAGTGCTTTGGGGACACTGGGTGGACCATGGGAAGGACTGAGTGCCAGGCCATTCATTCATTCTGCAGACATGAACTGAGCAGACTGAGATGAAACACAGCCTCCGCCTGTCGGGTATTCCTATCCAGTGGTGGGGTCGCTGCTGTGACTGAGACCACCCAGAGCCCAGAGGGCCCCAGAGGTGGCATCCATCTGGTTTGCAAGAGGTGACCCAAAGCCAGGGAAGGATGTGAAGGGCCCCTTGACACTCTTGTCTGGGGAAGATATTGAGGGGTCTGAGTTCAGTGGTCATAACTCAGGCCAGCCTTCCCAGAGTCAGCCCCAACTTCCTCACTTGGAGCAGTCACTCCTGTCAGCAGCCACAGGGAGCCATGCAGGGAAGACTCACTCAACATCCCAGGCTTTGGAGATGACCTCCCTCCCCAGAATGGGGTCAGAAGACTCTCTGGGTAGTTTGGAGTGAGCTGGAAGCCAGCTCCAGGGACCAAGAAGCCTGTCTGGCCTTCAGACATGGGACTCAGGAAGGTCCTCAGCGCCTGTGAGGGGGGAGGGGCAGGCACTGGGTCCCCGTGCCTCCCTAACAAAGGACAGAGAAATGGCTGAGGACGAACTTCCAGGCTTCCTCCTCGCCATTCTCAGCTCTCTCCCATCAGAGGACAGGCCTGGCGGACACCTTGGTGCAATAGTTCTCCTGTAACCCACATCCCAGCCTGGGCTGCTGCTGCTGTTTGTATAAAGCATTTCAGGGTGATGAAGCTGGAAAGAAAGTAGAATCCACACCATGTCATAGGCGACTTTTATAGGCTGGGAAAATCAGTGCTCCGCAGGGTGGGGCGGACCAGGCTAGCCACCTTGGCTGGGACTTGGGGATGAGAAAGGCTGAAGGGGGCAGGGGGGCGGGGGATAGGAGGTTCTGCTACCGTGGTCTGGAGCCCTCCTTGACCACGTGCACACACACTCACCCCTGTGTTTACTATTCCTAGCTAGGGAATGCCAGTCTGTAACGCAGCTTGCCTTGGTGACTGCCCACCTTGTTCTTGTAAGTCGGTTCTGCCCTTTGGGTCAGGTTTTGGGAGCTAGGCAGAGCGCTGGTCCCCTGGGGACTACCACCTGCCAAGAGATTCCTGTGCAGCTCCAGGGCTCATGCTTTTCCCACACCTTCTGCTCCCCGCTCCCTCTCAGGGGCGAAAGAAGGCCCCTCCGGGCCCTGTTGCCCGGTCAGTCCGAGAGCCTGAGGGAGTCTTTGGGAGCCTGGCCGGCGCCGGGCAGGCCACAGCTCCCGGACTCGAGGCCACCCGTCGTCCGCCCCCTACAGAGTGGGATTCTGGCCTCAGGCTCCGTCAGGGCCGGGGCGGAGCCGGTTGAGGGAGGCCCCGCCCCCGAGCCCGCCCCCGGCCCCGGGTGCGAATCTGGTGCTGGCGAGCGGCGGGAGATGCTGGAGGTTTGTGAGCCGAAGCGGCTGCAGCTGGCGCCGCGTCTGCCCCGCGTGCCCGGAGCGGATTCAGCCCGCCGCCCCCGGACCCCTCGGCGCCCCACTGAACACGCGATCGCTTCCTCCGTGTGACCGACCGGCGCTGCAGGTGCGGGGCGGGCCGCGCTGGGGGGGCGCCCCCGAACGCACGTTCTGGGGGTCTTGGGGGATTGGGTCTCTGACTCAAGGTTCGGATCCTTCAGCGCGCGGGGGCTCCTCGAGGGCTTGGGGTCCCAGCGGGGGCAGAACACGCGGGATTTGCAAATCCGGGGGTCGGCGTGCGGGGTTAGGTTTAAAGTTCCCCGTCACCTCGGACGGCTCGGGGGTCCCAGGGGAAGCCTCTGAGACTCGGGTCCAGGCGAATCTCCCCTCCCTGCCCTCCCCACCCCCGCCCCCCGTTTCTCTGGGCTACTAATTGTGAAAACCTTAACCCTCGAACATTTTTGGTGCCCCATGGGGGTAGGGGTCGAGGGCTGAGCCGATCCTCCTGACTCCCGGGGCCGCCTTCAACCCCTCCCAACTGCCCCCGGGTCCCCTTCCTCCCGCTAAGCAGTCACTAATTTCCATGACAACGGAGAGTTCTTTATGGGCGACAACCTGAAGGGGGCTGGGCGGGGCTGCCGCGGGGTGGGGGAGGAGGCTGCAAGCCCTTGGGGCCCAGCAGCCCCCTAGCCGAGACCCTGTTGCCTTGTCTTACCGTGGGGGACAGCGGGGGGCTCCGGGCCCCGTCTCAACGCTGCGCGGTGGGGGTAGGGGACGCACATGTTTCAGCTGGGAGGTGCGGGGCTTGGTGCTCACACGTGTGCCTCCCGCATGTGTGTTGCTGTGCCAGCGGGGGCGAGTCAGCAGCGCTGGGGAAGGGGGTCACGGTGGCACCACGGTGGGAGCCGGGCCCCGGGCTGGGGAAGTAGGGGAGTGGACAATGAACAAATGAATTTCTGCCTTCCCCCGCCTGTAGTGCCTGGCAGAGACCCTAGGCTCTCCCAGCCCCCCATAGCTCTGCCAAACTGCTTTTGTCCGCACCCCCTAGACAGAGCCTGTTCTGCCAGGTTTCCTTGTGGGGAGCAGGGCCCTCTATCCTTCACCAGAAGCTTAGTCTGCAGCAGTCCAGCCCCTGTCCTGCTGCTCCACTCTAAAGCCCAGAATCCCGTGCCCCCCAGGACCACCCAGGGAAAACTGGTTCTCCCCCTCCCCCACCTCACCTTCCCAGTGGAGTTTTAGCCACCTGCTGGACCCCAGTTTCCTTAGCTGGGGAACTGGTGTCTCTCCTCCTCTCTGTGTCAGGCTGGGTCCCGGGGGTGGGGCAGAGGTCTCTCTGCCTTTCTTTTACAGCATTTGGTGTGGACCCCCAGGTGCCAAAGGCTGCCTTTCCCATATCTGCTGCTGACGCTCACTGGCTGGCTACCTGGCTACCACTCACTGGCAGATGGTCAGTCCTTGCCTTGGGAGAAGGCTGCAGAGTCCATGATCTCTATCTTGGGAAACTGAGGCAGGGGGTCTGTGCTGTGCAGTTGTTTCTGGGTTGTTTAGGGTGCTGTTTCTGGCTTCCCCAACAGGATCCACTGTTGGAAAGGGGGACGGCTGCAACAG